GTTCTATAGCCGAAATGCCCATTTCTTGGAGGACAATTATATCCTGAACAATCATCGTCAAGAATTTGTTCTTGATGAGGATAGCTCAAGGTCAGTGGGAGATGTCCCACTAGTTCCAGGTAATGACCAACCTAGAAGATCTACCCGGGTTTTCAAGCCTCCAGTTCGTTTCGGCTATGACTAGGATAGTTACCTGGTGGAAACTACGACTAGTGAGGAGGATCCCGTGACTTATACGAAAGCTATATTGGACATAGATTCCTTGAAGTGGGTAGATGCCATGAGAGCTAAGATGGACTCGATGAAGACCAATGGAGTCTAGATTCTAGTAGATCCGCCCCCTGGGGTAAAAGCAATTGGTTGCAAATGGATCTATAAGAGAAAGAAGGGCCCCGATGGTAAGGTTGAGACCTACACGGCTTGTCTTGTGGCGAAAAGGTACACTAAGAAAGAGGGAATCGATTATGAGGAAACCTTTTCACCGGTGGCCATGATTAAATCCATTAGGATCCTGCTAGCTGTTGCAACATACCATGATTATGAGATTTGGAAAATGGATGTCAAAACTGCGTTCCTGAATAGAGATCTTAGTGAAGATATCTACATGCAGCAACCGCAAGGTTTCATAGCTGCATGTCAGGAACACATGGTATGTAAATTAAATAGATCCATATATGGACTTAAGCAAGCTTCTAGGAGTTGGAACATCCGATTTGACTCTACCGTCAAAAAGTTTGACTTTGAGCAGAACCCGGATGAGTCCTGTGTTTATAGGAAATCTAGTGGTGATAAGATTACGCTTCTAGTTCTGTATATAGATGACATTCTACTCATTGGGAATAATGTAGGAATGTTGACTACGGTGAAAGTGTGGCTTTCACAGCAATTCTCCATGAAAGATCTTGGAGAAGCCTCCTATATACTGGGTCTTCGACTCTATAGAGATAGATCAAAGAGAATAATAGGATTATCCCAATCTGCTTATATTGACAAGATAGTCAAAAGATACAGCATGGACCAAGAAAGAAAATGTTTCTTTCAAGCGTGGAGTCGCTCTCTCCAAGGGTATGTCTCCCAAGACTCCCGAGGAGATTGAGGGCATGAAAGACGTTCCCTATGCCTTAGCCGTAGGGAGCATCATGTATGCCATGCTGTGCACTCATCCTGACATCGCTCAGGTAGTGAGTGTGGTAAGCAAATTCCAGGCCAACGCAGGGCAGGAGCATTGGACTGCTGTGAAAAACATACTTAAGTACCTTCGAAGGACAAAAGAGTTTTGTCTGGTATTCGATGGTAGCTCACTACATATCCAAGGGTATATTGATGCCGACTTCCAGTTAGATCCAAACGATAGAAAGTCTACATTTGGGTATATTTTCACGATAGGATCGTGTGTTGTTTGCTGGAAAAGCAGCAAACAGGGGTCCACGGCGATTCCACGACTGATGCCGAATACATTGCCACAAGTGAAGCTGCCAAAGAAGCCGTATGGATGAAGACGTTCATTTATGAATTGGGAGTAGTTCCATCCAGCACATCACCCATTCCACTGTTGTATGACAACACTGGAGCTATCGTTTAGGCTAAGGAGCCACGAGCCCACTCGTAATCGAAGCACATCGAGAGGAAGTACCATGTACTGCGGGAGATAGTTGGAAGAGGGGATGTCCTGATTCAAAAGGTAGCATCAACGGAGAATGTAGCAGACCCATTGACTAAGCCACTGACACAGAAAATGCTTGAGAAACACGTGAAAAGTATGGGACTCTGGCTTATACCAGATTGGACCTAAGTGCAAGTGGGAGCTGTTAGACAGTGTATGCCCTTAACTCCAATCAGAATGATGTACCTTATGACATTTAATGTAAATGAATAAAGTACATATTTGATTCATGTTATTATGGTGTGTTTTTGTGTAAGACCCTTAAACTGGACACAAAGATTTGGATTAGAAAACTCCTAATAAGATTAGGAGGGCTGATCTTTATCTGTAGATAAGATAAGGGTTTATCCTTACCTCTTAAAGAGAGTCCAGATTCAAATGAGATTTGGATTAGGTAACTCCTAATGGGATTAGGAAAAGCTCTCTTTAAGGCTATAAATAGAGGAGGAGGGAGAACCCTACTACACCCAATCAGATTACAGATTCAAGAGAGAAGACAACTCCAGTTGGACTGACGCCATCTTCTGCTCTTGCCTCCTCCTATTGTTGCCGCCATTGCCAGTTCAATCTCCATCTGAAGTCATGCTCACACACCCTCCATCGAATTCTTGCCGAAGAGTTCGGTTCTTGCTGAAGAACCACCTGTTGATTCTGCTCCACCCTACGCTGTGTCATCTTCAATGGGAGCAGTCTTTGGCGTTTTCCTTGGGCGTGAATACCTTTGTTGGGAGTTACTGTTACTCCGTATGAGGTACAATCCTCTCCTACCTTTTGGTTTCAGATCTAGTCCGGTTTAGGTTCAAGAATGATCATTGAAAATGTAGTTTTCTAAAACAGGGAATGTGATTTCCATATGGGAGAGAGAAATTTTTGAAATTTCGCCCAACCTACCTACAGGGTTTGGCTATCCATATGATGGATCTCTCATCCCTTCAATAAATCTAACTAATAGTATTTATTAGTGAAAATAACTTAAATATAAGATTTAATACCTTAAGTATAAGACTTAGTGAGAGGGGATTAAATGATGTGAAAAGTAATAATTGGAGTTACATTTTTAATTTTTAACCCTCATAATTAGAGATCGGCTAAATACACAAATATGAGCATTTTAGTAACCATTAAAGTTGGCACTAAAACTATAATAAAATGACTTTTATACCTTTTCTCAACCAAAGAAATAGAAGGTAATTTTAATTTAAAAAAAAAACTTTTACTCTGCATCTACACTTTTATATATACTATAGATGTAGATAGATTTGGAAATAAGGATGATCATGAGCTGGGCCCAAGATGGGTTTTGACAATGCATTGACACTGTTGAGGGCTGCCCAAGCCCAACTTGGCCTACATCCCTTGCCTGATAATATATGGATGGGACAGGCACAAGGTTCAAAGTATAGACACGTATCGGCCGATATAGTGGGTGTATCGGGGGTTTGACTGGTTCAGGGGTGGAGGAACCCTAAACCAACGCCTCTGAATCGGTTTCAAAATAAAATAAAATAAAATAAAAAGTAAAAAAAAAATAGTATTGATTCACCCAATACACCCCCCCCTACCGATGTATCGGGCATATCAATATTTTGAACCTTGGCCAGGCATTCGAGTTTATGCATTGCTAGGCTGGGCATAGTGTTTGCTTGGCCCAAGCCTAGCCGACATTATGTGCAGGCTTGGTGCGGTCCAGGCCAAGTGGTGGGATAGTGACTCAGTAGTTCAATTATACAGGTCAAATGGTAGATTCATGATATCATAAATTCAATAAAAATATAAAATAAATAAAAATTAGAAAAAAAATTGATATATCTCTAATATTAGTAATGAGAATAGCCGAAAAATAAAAGAAAAAAACAGGAAAAAGAGTAAATTATTTTATCTGGTTATGGAATGTTTATTGTACATGTAAAATTGAAAATTGCTACACAAAATCAAAGCTTGACTCTGTAAACGAAATAGGTGTCCCACATAACGCCCCACTCTTGCTTCAAGCTCTATAGTCTATACTCTTCAAAAAATTACAGACATCCCATATAGAAAAGTCTTGAACTTCTATTTCTAATATTTAAATGCTTCCTCCTCAACTACTTTCCGAAAATACAAGCGTATCAAACCTTTTTTTGTAGTCAACCCATTTACCCACATTTGCTACGAGAGTGTCGTAGCCCTACACTGGAACAAATAAATCAAAGCCTTTGATTCACTGTAGTAGATCAAGGACATGATTTTCTATTTTAGCCTTATGTCGTAGCAAAATTGAACTGATAGTTCCAGTGTGTTCCACTTTATGTAGCATGGTTTCCAATTGCAGCTCTAGAATGGTCGGCCTTAAGCAACTTGCTACTTTCTTTTCTTTCAATTACTGGTATTATGGTACCTTCCTAAAATCCCATGACTTTTATCTTCTTCTCCTACCTTTTGTTTATGTTTGGGCCTGGTGGGCGAGTGGATGAGTGATTAGAAAGCAGATGAAGGATAAAGATAAACCCAGGTGTTTGCCATGATATCGATGCTATCATGCAAGTATCAACAATGGCAATCTTTCTATCTTAGATATACCATAATTCGGAAAAATATTTGGCTGTTTACGTGTTCGACAGCCTGTGCTGTCCACATTATGTCCTATATGAACTTCATCCATCAGTAAACAGTGCTAAGGCTCGGCTGTAGCCAAACTTTTTTCATCTGAACAGCAAAAGGTTCACCAGCCATTCAATTAACCTTGAGTATGTATGTACTTTCTTTGGTTTTGAGGTGGAAATTGAATTCATCTCCATCAATGATTGTTATCTCAGATCGATTACTAGAGTTCTGGGAATACAACATAAAGTTTTAGAACCTGGGTTTTGCTTACTTGCTAGTTTATAGTGAAATACCAAACAAGCATCACTGTATCACTTACTACAATATGCTATGAATTGGAGATGGAGAAGTGACCCTTCTTTGCCCTCCCCTAGACAAACATGCCCCTCACATGTTGAGAGCCTTTCAAATAGCGATTTAGTTCAATTGATCCCTGTATCAAGGTTTAAAATATTGATATGTTCGATACGTCGGTAGAGGCGTATTGGACGAATCGATACTGTTTTTTATTTTTTTTTCTGAAATCGGTTTAGGAAAATCGGTTTAGAACTCCTTCACCTCCTGAACCAGTCAAACCTCTGATACATTCATTATAGGGGCATATTGGAGGGGTCTCAGAATGATACATATCAGCCCGTACTAGAAATATATTAACCTTTTACATATGGGCCATACGTGTCGATACTTTGAACCTTGTGTTGTATGGTAAATAGGAGTATATTAGTCATTTTCTAATTGGAGCCGGCCACAGTGATTAGATTAGTATACATGAACTGATAAAGATGGATATAATAATACAACGAGCAATATAACTGAAAACCCAAAGGCCGAAACCGAAAATCTCTGTTTCTCTCTCACGGACTCACCGTCTTCAATCACGGACAGACATGTTTTTTCTATAATTAATTAACCTGCATTAACTGAAATTGACACTGGCCGGATAAAAAATCAGTATTTCGCTTCGGAGCTCCGATAAGAGAAATGTCAATCTCGATCAGATTGTCCTCTTCGACGTGAAAAATTGGACTGCGCTTACCATCCAGAGGTATTTCGATTAATCCCTCTTTATCATCTTCGCCCCATGTAAAGCACATATTTTGGGGAGAATCCCACCCTGCGATCTCCGGAAATTCTCCGTCCGACGAGCTGTCTGTGTCGGATTCCGAGTGGTAAAGTGACAACAATCTGTTGATACGCACTTGACGGGTCTCTTCCTTTTCATTCGATTCCTCATCTTCTCCTTCGCAGTCTTCGTATATGACTTCTAATGGCGCCTTCAGGTTGGTTTCCAAGAACGAGGTGAAGAAAAACGGATTAGGAACGAAATCAAACTTAATTTTGGGCTCTGTGTTCGTATTGCATGAGACCCATTTGTCATCTTCAGCTGTTGAATCGATTTCTTCAGGTCCTGTGGAAGTAGAACTCTCTTTCTCAACTGTCGGAATACCGTTCCTTTCTTCAGTACTTTGAATTGCTCCTAATCGGAGCAGGGTTGATATCAGAATCCCAGATGAGATCAAGACAGGAGAGAAAACAAGGTCTAGGAAAATCCGCGGGAAATAAAGGAGTATAAGACCGTAAAGTGCTATTAAGATAGAGAACAGAGGATCCGAATCGAGAAAAGAAAGCAAAGACAATGTTTCTTGGAAGAACCCAATGGATTCAAAGAAAACCTTTGTGGCAAAGGAGCTCATTTCAAATCGTTTCTTCTGCATGAAGAAGGGATGACGAGAAAGCTACCAAGTGGGGAGTTTTTTAGACAAATTTCGGGTTGCAAACAGAGAAGGTGAAGGTAAAAAGAGGCAGAGAGATGTATTTTTAAAAGCAGAGAGAGAGAGAGAGAGAGAGAGGGGATTGTTTTGAAGTTTGAAGAATCGCTTGTGGATTTTGGTCGCCAGGAGTGCGTAAGAGCAAGGCAGGGAATCGGCGAATAAGCATGGAGGAAAGCAATCTAGGTGGGTGTATGCACTTTCCCTCTTTCCAATAGGGTTACAGTAAATGCCCATGATCTTACTCCAAACTACGGAAATGCCATCCGGAACAAAACACAAACGATTATAATCTCACAAATCACAATTTTATGCTGGGAGGATGAAGCCTGCCCGACGTGTTGGAAGGGACTGGGCTACATCTTGATTGGGCCCATCTTAGATGTCCCACATTCTAATTGAATGGTCCATTCCATGAAGTGGGCCGACTCCGACCATGGGCTCTGTTTGCGGTCTGTTCCTTTCGAGTCCCTCGAGCTTCAGGGACGAGAGAGACTGAGACAGTCAACCACTACAATGACTCCACTGGTGAGTGGTGAAAGAATGGACACTTGTAAAATAACATGACTGTTGTGGAGTGAATTGGGAAAAATGGCATATTGAGCTTTACCAAAAATTTTGGTTTTTTGACTTTATAGAGGCTCAGTTTGGAAGGAATACAAATACAAATATACAATACAAATACATACAAAATAATATTAAATATAAGGTTTTGCACTATACAAATTTGTATTTGTATTCTTTCCAAATTGAGCCAAAACAACAAATTGCGGGCGAATTCTCTCATCCAACCATTCTTCCCCAAACTTTTTGGTGCATCTCCTATTCTCCTTTCTCACTTTTTTTTTCTGCAATTTAAGGGTAAATATTAAGGGATTGCCAAGCATCAACAATCCCGATTCAAAGCTACTGAAGAAGCTAATTTGTTTCTTTGGGTTCTAGAAACATATTTAATATTCCAACCCTAAATTTCAACTTTCCCACTTTGAAATTCAAGAAATCCAAATTTATGTATTAGCAGACATGATTCGCTTGCTCACTTTCACTCTGGATAGAACTTTCCCTTCCAACTATATGATCGTCTACATGAATCTCATTTTACAATTTCGTTCTATTCCGTTCTGTTCAATACCATATCCTGATCTTTCTTCAACATTCTCTCTCATTTTTTTCATGAATAGAAACTAAGTTTTAGAATTAAGATATTATGGAACCTTGATGGAGGCCCATCCCAAGGCCCACATCACCTTAGGGGCGGCAGCTCATAGGATAAGGGCTAGAGATAATTCAAGAATTCAAGATAATCTAGAATTCAAGATCCATCAAGAATTCAAGATAAGCAAGAATTCAAGAATTCAAGATAATCCAAGACTCCCAAGATTCATGGATTAGATCCAAGAAGATCCAACGGTGAAGATCCAGCCAGAAGAGTTCTATCCTATCAAGACCAAGATCAAGAAGAGTCGATCCAGCTATGAGATTGAGATGTTTAGATCAACTACAGTTTTCTTTCCTAGTTACTTTACAACTTCCAAGATGTACTATAAATATTGATTATTTCCAGTTAATACATACTTCATATTTTCAGAATTTCTTCAAGTTCTCTTCTTTGAATTTTCACCACCTTTTCTCTCTCCTAGAGAAATCGGTGTTATTCTCTAGGAATCAGCGAACGCCCGGTGCTTGCATAGCCAACTCCGATGACCATTACTTCTACGCTGCGTCAAACCTGAATACCATTTTGTAACGTCAAGCAAAACAATAAGATTTGTGTAGTCAATCTCATATATAGTTTAAGGATATATAGTTGGGACAAGGGCTTAGATGATGTGGATGATGATTATATATCGACAAGGTTTTGGGTTGGCAACCTGTTTGATCATCAAACAAATTATCATTAATAAAAGACGAAAGAGCTCAGCAGCCACACAAAACGAAACAAGTCATGAATGGAGGCCCAGCCCATGACTCAAAATAGTCGACATGATGTCCCCCAACCATCAAATGTGCTTGAGGCCTACTTATCCATCGATGGGATGCATACATGTGACCCCACATGAAAGAGACTTATGATACCAAACATCTTCATCTGTGTGGACATGTGGAGTTGCTGTAACCAGAAGAATGACCAATTGGCCATGGTTGTCGCCGGAGCTGCCATTATCGCCCATCCTCATGCATGTGCCCTACATAAAGGTAATGGCCCTTGTAAAACCCTTCATGAAATTTTAATTAGTTAAGAAGATTTTCTACAACCAGATTCGTATCTGGTTGCAATTCCTTGCCTGATTTGGCTTGGTATGGTTGATGGGGTGGAACAGATATTTCTCTCTCTCTAGAACAATAAAAGAGGCATTCCCAAGGAACAGTTCAACAGGTGAGGTTTTTGAAGAAGTTTTTATTCTTTAATACATTCTCTTACGTAAAATCTTATTGGGCTTGAAGCTAAAACAAATATAAGTATGTCATACCTTATGCTGAATTTTAATTAAATTATTGAAAAATTTATGGTTTGTTTTCACTCAAATTTTTATTGGTTTTTTGAATATATTGTCCTAAACCTCCATCCATGCTATAGTATCCCCTTGTATTATGATAGAATTAATTTTCCCTTGTCATTGTTTTTGGTTGAACAAACTTGTAAAAATTTATAAGGTGGAATAATCTATAAAAACCCATTATTATAATGAAGCAACAATTGAGGTTTGGACACTGGACCATTTGATTAAATGGGCTGATACCCTCTCAACATATCATTCAACCTAAAAGCTTAAACTATTATGTGAGATACCTAAATAAGTTTTTATCCTCTAATAAGTGTATTTTTGACAAATTATGTTGGAGGCACCTAACAGCTTAAGGTTAGGTTTAATGGTTCATTGAGATGGTATTAGAGTCTATTTAACATATTGGTGTAGCATTCCATCCTCATTGCCTCCATTACAATTAATTAAATTTCAACCTAGGTATGTAGTTGATGAGAATAAAAATTATCATATTTGTATCCCTAAATATTCAGTCTTTTTACACTTAATTAATATTTAATTGGACTCATTACTCTTGTATTTTGATTCAGGGCAAGGAAATAAGTCGCAAGAAGTAAAACAAGGCTAATCAGATGGTTTTTTACAGTTTCGGCACTGTTCAGTAATCTGGGCCTAACTCTCATATCCGGGCTCCGATTAGGCTGATTCAAGATGCACTGGAAAGATAAGAGCGAAATCTAAAACTTTCATATTTTGGGTTTTGACAGATTCGGCCTGCACCAAAGTCAAAATTGGGCCCAAAGACGATACGGATCTGTAGTAAAGCCCAACTCACAGCTGAAGCCCAATTCGCAGAAACGCCTTGTAGCAGCCCAAATTATTAAAGAAGCCCAACTCGAATTCAAGATTGAAGAGTCTTATCAGTTTTAAATTTCAATGTAATTCTAGAAGGATTAGAGGATTGAGATTACTAGATAAGAGATAGGATAGGATTAGATCAAAACCAATTAGGACTTTATAATTTTGAGGATAATCTCCTAAGAGGAGTTGGAGACAGCCCCTCCTCCTAAAGCTATATAAAGGGGGGGGGACTAGCTTTTGGCATCTATCAATCAATTACTGAAGCTCTCCCTGAAGCAATCAAGAAGATCATCAAGAAAACTTTAAGAAGGAGATCAACAAGAAGGAAGTGGCGGCAAGAAAAAGAGGAGATTTCAGCTCCAAGGGCAAAATCATGAGTTCTTTCTTTCCTCTTGTTTTCTTTATTTCTTTTATTATGAACTGATTTATTTATAGCTAGGGCTGTGGAAAGCTTAACTATGGCAATGAATATATTTTTATTAATATAATTCTTCCAAGATCGTGATTGTCATATAGTTTATGAGTTATTTGCTTAATGCGATTAGGAGTGGCCATATCTTAATTGATTAGGTTTATATGAATGAATCGGGAGATGAATTCATATATTAGACCACATAATTCATGGTGTGAATTGAATGGTATATAAGGATATATACACATGATTCATCTGAATGTATAAGTTTTTCTTGTATTTAATGCATTTCTATCTTGAGAACTCTAGTCGAGTGATCGAGGGGTGACTTGATAGAAGTAGGTTAATATGTATTGGGAAAGAATATTAAATAAATTTGGAAAAACTTTAGCTTATGGGAATGACAAATTATCTTGGTTAATCTCATCCATCAGTATTCGTTGGAATGGTTAGGTGGACCAATGGTCCTAGTGATTTCAATTAATCGTTGCATATTCAGTATTGATTGCCCTTGCTTTTATTTTCTTTTTCTATTTTTAATTTTCAGTAGTTCTTATTATTGGATCTGAATTTCGGTTGTCCAAATAATTAAGGAAGGCTGTAGTTCTAATACTTATTTTGTTAAATTCTCGTGGGAACGATATTTTTATACTACTTGATAATTAGTGCACTTGCTAGGGTTATAATCATAGCTATTAGTAGTCCTATGCATGGCATGGGGAATGCAGGTATGCTATAATTGGACTAATAAAAGTATAGAAATAAACAAGTAAACTCAGTTTCTCTCTCTCTCCTGCATTTGTTGCAAAGGTCCTCTCCCACTAGCTTTGAAGCAAGAAAGTACCTGCTCTCATTCAACGATAATGAAAGAAGTAAAGTTTTAAAGTGTAAATTAACGTAAAAAGAACTTGGTACTAGTATCACTACCAGGAAATGAAATAAAAGGAAAAGGGCCTTTGGACATAGATGCGGTTGTCTGTAGCCGTCCCATGTCATTTGTTGTATTGTATCGTGTTGATTATTTAGATGCCTATGTGTAAGTTTACAATGCAATGAATGGATGACGATACGATGTCGGTAAATGTAGATGGTACATGGTGTCATGCATATATCAATTTCAATTTCCATGCACATTAATTTAACCTAGCTAGGTGGTGGTGGATGGAGATAAGCTAATTAAATTTACATTTAGGTGGTGTTTGATAAATTTGAAATCTAAAAAGTTAAAAAGATATTATGTGTTTAAAATTTGAAAAGAAGCATATATAATTTTCTACTTTTTAGAGGCTCTAAATAGATAAGGTTATTTGTGTTGGATAAATCATAAGGTTTAAAGTATCGGAAATGTAAGTTGTATCGAAAAGATAATTTTAAGAGACGTTTCGAGATACACTTTGGATATGCATGGACACATACAAAAAATCAAAATATGCATGAATACATTAGAGAACTTATATAAATCTTAAAAAATACATTAATAACAATAAATATAAATTTTATATGACCTTAAATAAGTTATTTAAACACTTATAAAGAAAACAATTTATTTAAACATATAAACCCATACCTCAATAGTTTATATGAAATGTGAGATATAGTGACAAATTGGTAATCATTGAAGATAATGGAAGCAGTAAAATGTGTATTAATTTTCAGAAATCAATATAATTTATATTAATATTTATTAGAATATAAATTTTATCAATTTTAACATTGAACATCCATTAAGAAGAAAAATATTTGCTTAAGAATAATAATATATACAATTATAATCAACAATTGAATATGGTGCAGTGGTTCATTTATGTTTATTATAATCAAATTACTAGGGTTCAATTCTCCTTACCTTTTTAATTTGTAGTTTTAAATATGTTGGTTTAATGACAAGTTAACTTCCAATTTATTGCTTTAATGGTGGGTCATTAAAATTTGAATTTGAATATTGTTATAAATGTAATAATTAATTATTAATTAAGAGAGAAAAAGAGTTATTAAGAGAAAGGTAATAATTATAGGGGATTTGGAGTTATTTAGGGGGGCAAGTTTCCTTAAATGAGAGAGAGAGAGAAAGAAAATCTAATATTACAATATGTATGGGCCGATACATTCAAAATACTGGTCTGTATCAGTCCTGTATCGGCTGTATCAGTCGATATAGACCCGAAACATCTGATAAGGGTTCATATATACAAATGAAAAGGAACGAAACTACTAGATTTGTAATGTTCTATGTATCGGGATGTTGCTGGAATGATACGTATTGGCCCGCATTGGCTGATACATCGCTATTATTTAAACCTTGATGAATCTTTCAACATCTGAAAATGCCTGATTTTACTACTTCACCCCTAGAACAGATTCAGATTTAAACAAACGAATGATCAATCTAACAACAAATAACGGGAACCAGGGAATTTTAAACATGGAAGCAGCATTTGAAACAAAAACGAACAGTGATATTGGCAAACAAACACACAGCCCCTCTCATTACCGTGCATCATCGGCCATGGATCTTACGAAGGACAGTTCTATAGAAACCAACTTGGCAGAGGTTTCATCACCTGACTCCAATGACCTCCTCAAACCCCCGTTGTTATGTAATAAAAAGACATGGAAAATAAATAAAAGAAATGAAAAGAAAATGAAATAACCAAATCGGAGGAACCAAACCTGACTTTGATGACTTCCTCAGACCCCCGTTTCATCACCTGACTCTGTCGATCCTGTTCAATCAACGAAGAAGACAAGGACGAGGGGAACGAAGAATGGCTTGGGGGATCAGAGGGGGTGAGGGAGAGAGAGAGAGGCCGGTCGGAGTATAGATTAGAGGGACGAAAAGCTTCCACCTCCCTTATTCTGTCGTATCTGTGCCTGGCTTGAGTTCGGGAGGTTGGAGGAAAGAAGCAAGGGATTTCAGACGGATTTGGATGATCAGAGAGAGAGAGAGAGGATTCATCCCTTCGTGCATTCAATGAGGTAGCGAACTAGCAGTAGAAGCAGTGCAACAGCTCACTTCATTGTTCAAGCAAAAGAGTTTGAATGAAAAGAAATTTGGGTTTAAAAAGGGACATACACTGTCCATTTAAATATTATCAGGGGCATTTTAGACTTTTGCATACATTGAAATGCATTTGAGCACGTTCAGTGATGGCCTGCGGTCTTATTGCTTTAGATCTGAAATTCAACTTCAGATGAACTTTCAAACATATATCTAAATACTTTTGGGTTTGAAAAGTAACATTTTCAGATTTAAGACATCTTAAAAAGATTATGAAACGTGGTGAACCAAGGAAAAGTACTATAACCTTAAGAAGATGGTGCCAACTGGACACAGGATTTGTGGTTCTAGTTCCTCCATACCTATGATTCAATTTCAATATCCTCCTCACCCCACTTGACACGGTGCGTGTGCGCCTTGGTTTCTCCAGGTCGCACGGCCAGGTCTGGTTTTGTATGGTGTTATTGTCTTCATCCTGCTTACTTATGGTGTTACGTCTAGATACCATGGAGAGTGAAGAAACTCACAAGACAACAACATTACTTGGTCTTGGTCTACATCTAGTATAATACAAGGGAAATAGAGTTAGGGGTGTCCATTATACGGTTCAAACCATAAAATTGAATTGAACCAAACCGAATTGTGGTTTGGTTTGGTTTATTGAATTTTAAAAATTGAATTAAACCGTAAACTGAAATTTTATATATATATATATATATTATATCTAAATGAAATGTGTAAAATTATAAATATATAATGAACTCTTTATTTTAAGTTTTAATTTTTAGGAGAATTATTTGAACTTTCTAAATTGTTATTATCTGTATATAGATATAAACAGGATAAGGATAGATGCGGGGATATCTCAGTTGGGAGAGCGTCAGACTGAAGATCTTAAGGTCGCGTGTTCGATCTACGCTCACCGCATACATATTTTGTTTTATTTTTGATTTCATCTGGGTGTACAGAGCACAGACGATCCTTCTTCTCTTCCCTGGTAACGGAAAGCCAATCATCTTCCGACTTTCCTGCTGTGTGATGGGTTGATGACAGACAGTCTCTCTCTCTCCCCACCTAGAAAGCATTTCTCTTTGTTTGGTTATCCAAAAACAGGGTTCACTTTCAAAAGCAATAGCAGATTGTTCCTTCAATATACAGAGAAAGAAAGCCATTATTCATGAGATGTTCCTAATGTGCTATGAAATCGGTGTAAGGAGCGCTCTGTGGGGAGCATATCCCGATTCCAATTCCACGAGATGATACACCGTCGCTGATGACCTCCTCTCTTCACCACCTCCTCAAGAAATGCACAAACATGATACAAATCAAGCAAATTCATGCACAGCTCACCACCACTGGACTCATGCTTTCCGACGTCCACCTCCAAGGCCGCTTCCTCTCCTTAGCCGCCAGCTTAGATTCCGGTGACCTTCACTACCCCGCCCTCATCTTCTCCCAGCTCCACCACCCAAACATCTTCTTCTACAACACTATGATAAGAGCCTATTCCATGACTGTCACCCCATTAAACTCCATTTCCGTGTATACCCAAATCCTCCAGGCAAACCTCCTCCCCGATATCTACACCTTCCCTTTTCTCCTCAAAGCATGTTCCCAAGGTCCCGCCTTTGTGCAGGGTCAGTCGGTCCACGGGCAGGCGGTCAAATTTGGCTTGGATTCGTACATTTATGTTAACAATGCTCTCATTCACTTCTACTCCATAACTGGCCACATCGAAGATGCAAGGCAATTGTTTGATGGTGCCGAAGAATTAGATGTCGTTTCTTGGAACTCTATGATCAGTTCTTATGCTAGGATTGGCCATATTAGGACAGCCAAGTCCCTGTTCGATCAAATGCCTGATAGAAATACAATCTCCTGGAGTGCTTTGATTGCTGGGTATGTCCAATGTGGGCTGTCCAGGGAGGCTTTAAGTCATTTTTCTAGAATGCAAGCTGAGCTAATTAAACCCAATGAGGTCACTTTGGTGAGTGTGCTATCAGCTTGTGCCCAGTTGGGTGCACTTGAACAAGGCAAATGGGTGCATGGATACTTGAAGTCTAACAACATGGAAGGGAGCGTTTTCTTGGGTACTTCACTAATCGACATGTATGCCAAGTGCGGAGAAGTAGAATTGGCTAAAGAGGTTTTTAATGGGATGAAAGCTAAAAATTTGTTGGCTTGGACTACTATGATCAAGGGGCTTGCTATGCATGGTCGAGGCCAAGTAGCACTTGCTCTCTACTCAGATATGGAGATGGCCGGTATAGTGCCTGATGATGTAACCTTCATTGGGGTCCTCTGTGCCTGCACACATTCCGGCCTGGTTGATCAAGGGCGTCAAATTTTCGAGTCAATGAGTAGAAACTACGGCATTTTGCCTAAAATTGAACATTATGGTTGCATGGTGGATCTTTTGGCACGCTGTGGGCTACTTGATGAGGCAAAACATATGGTTGACAACATGCCAATGGAGCCTGATGCCCTTATTTGGGGAGCACTCATGGCAGGTTGTAGATATTACCGGAATGTCGAACTGGCAGAGTATGTGGGGAAGCAATTGATTCAGTTAGAGCCTGATAATGGTGGAGTATATGTGCTTCTGGCCAACATATATGCAGCATCAGGAAGGCTGCAGGATGCGAGAAAGGTGAGAGAGATGATGGAAACAAAGGGTATTGTTAAGGTTGCAGGTTGTAGCGTAGTTGAGATCAGAGGAACTGTCTACCAATTCATTGTGGGTGACACCACGCATCCCCAAATAAGGGAAATTTTAATGAAATGGGAGGAGATTGAGAAGAAATTGGAATTGGAAGGATACTGCCCTAACAAAACAGAGATTTTTCTCGACATTGACGAGGAAGACAAGGAAGAAGCACTGGCTCGTCATAGTGAGAAGTTGGCGATTGCTTTTGCATTGATTGATAACGTAAATGGAGTCCCCATTCGTATAGTAAAAAACCTACGAGTTTGTAGTGATTGTCATACTGTCACCAAACTGATCTCTAAAATTTATAATCGAGAAATAGTTGTTAGAGATAGAACACGGTTCCATCTTTTCAAGGATGGTTCTTGTACTTGTAAAGACTACTGGTGAAAAATGAGACCTCTGTATAGAACTAAAAAGCTTATATCTCGATAGCTGTAAGAACATATGCAAGCGATTGCGTTAACTGCTGCATCAAAAGCTCCAAGATATTGCATTCTTTTTCGCTGCTACCATGTTTCAATCCCTGCCAGATGACCTGTTTTAAATATTGCAGTCTCTAGTGGTTTTCAAAACCAGACCGGACCGGACGGTCAGACCGGAAAAACCGGTAACCGGTCAGCCCCCGGGTCCAGTTATACTAGAAACTGGAAATTCTTAAAAACATTGAAAAAGTCAAAAAACCGCTGACCCGAGCAGTTGGACCACTAAACCATTCGACCTGGGCAGTGGTTCCGTGAGTTATCTTTTTTATTTTCACTGTTTTAAATAAAACAAAAAACAAAAAATAAAATGACTTCAATATCCCCAACCCAAAATCAAATGTTTAGGCCCTTTAGGGTTAGAGCCCCATTTTCGTTCTAACCCTTCCTTCCTCTCAACCCTCACACCCAACCAACCACCTACAGCGGCCAGCACCTTCGGTGTCCGACGGTGACCGATAACAGTGAGTTTGCAGTGGCGGCCAGCGTATTTTGCAACACTTTCAGGTTTCAGCAGTAAGAGTTGCGACAAGCAAATTTGCAGCGGTGGGCGACGAATTTGCATCAGTGGGCAGGGAGTTTGCAGTGGCAGTAATTGCTGACTATTTACAAACGGGTCTATTTACAAACGTTTTATTTCTTCTAATTAGTTTACCATAAGGAAGTTTTGCTTTCAGTTAAATAGGATAATAAACTACGAAATGACATCAAACTTCCGATTATTTAAACTTTTGAACAATCCTATTTCTTAGAGGCTGGACTGAACTAAAAATCCGAGTGATTGATGATTCCAAGAGTTCATCTGGTAGGTGCAGGCTCAAAATGTGATACTTTGGGAAGTTCGTTTGATTTTTCTTTTGATTTCTAAGTAACACAATGCATATTAGATTCCAACTAATAATAGGATCTCGTATGGTTCTTGGTTCTTGATTCTTGAATCCAAATATAGAGCTTTTTATTCTTGTAATTTGACTTGAATTTTTTGAGGGTTTTCTTCTTGAAATCTCTATATGTTCTGTTTTATTTTTCTGTACTTTTTTTTTGTATGTTCTATTTGTTATGCACTTTGTTATTTTTGTATTTAGAAAGTTTTATTTTTCTGTTTTTTCTGTATTTTTTATTTTTTTTGTGTTTTTTCTGTATTTTTTATAATTTTTCTGTATTTTATTTTTATATTTTCTATGTGTCTTGTAGTGTATTATTTTTTTATTTAGATAGTTTTATTTTCTGTATTTTTTCTATTTTTTATTATTTATAAATATATTTTTTATTTTTAATTTAGTTATGACATCATGGGTCGAACTGTTCGACATGAACGGTTGAACCGCTTAACTAGAAACCAGTCCCCTGACTGGTTCTATTTCTGGTTTGTTATTAAAAACCATGTGCAAAAGTTACTTATATGCCAAAACAATTTTTTGCCTACTTGTGTTATGGGCAAATTTATTAAATTACCCTTATGGTTTATCCTTATTATTTACATATTACCTTATAGTGCTTTTAAATTTTCTGACAATTGTCTAAAACCTCCTTGTCATTGATGTGATAACGAAGAGAAAGACTTTTACCCATTATTCTCCTTCAAATTTTTAAAATGAAACAAAGAAAAAGATGGAAAAAGAGACAGGTCAAGAGAGAGAGTATGTACCAGCGATGCAACCGTTGCTGGTGGATGGTGGAACAAGGGATGGCGGAGGTCAGCCAACTGTTTTCTGTCACTTAAAACAGTGGAAAAACTCTGAAGAAGAAGAAGAAAAGGCATCTACTCAAACTCCCATGTTGGAATCTTCACAATGGATGTGCAATGCTGAGGATGGCACCTGGTTTACTTTCTTACTTGCGCCCACAATTAATGTGCAATGCTCGGGATGGCACTGCGTTTCCTATGGAGCCTTTCTCATCTGGATCCACCATGTTCAGATGTTTGATGTGAAAAATGAATCCACAGACCATGGTGTATTGTCAAAACGAGAGAGAGAGAGAGAGGGCCATAACAAAATCAGGTTGTAGTTGGATATAAGGAAGGAGAATTTGACACTTGTCTTCCTTTCTCCAAGCAATTAAGTGATGGTTTCTTTTTGGGTTTCGACCTCCAAGTAGTAGCAAATATCTTAGACATCGATTGGAGGTATCTATTGTCCAACCACTTGGGTTCCTCCATTCTAAGAATTCCATTCTTGTTCACTTGCAAAAATCAAAGAAAGTCGTCGCCTTCTCTGCCATCGCAAAAGCTAGAGATCTTCGTTCCTCCACATCTGCAGGTGAAGGAGATGGGGATGGGGAACAGGTAAGGGAGAAACCCATCCCGGTGGGTGCTCGCTGCTCTTTCTCCCCTTTGTCCCCTTCGTCCCCTTCGTCGGTGGCTGCCGTCACCTGCGATGGTTGTGCCTGCGACGAGTCCTTTTGGTGTAGCTTTGGATTCTGGGTTTGCAGCTGGGGCTACTGGTGAGGAGGTCTTGTTGAGTTCATAGCTCAACCTATACCTCTACTAGTCCACCATCAGGCGCCAGTTAGTGCATGCAGGCGACGGTAGCCACTGACGAATGGCTCCCTCCCTCTCTTTCTCTCTTCCTCCCCTTCGTTCTCTTTCTCTCTTTCTCCTCCATTCCCTCTCGCCCCTGTTTCATCACCGCCACTGCAAGTTGCAGCAGGGGCAGACCCTTCCACGGACTGAGATACAGACGACCAAATTTTCTTCTCTTTCTCCTTCTTCCTCTGCTTCTCCTTTCTCCATCTGGGTTGGCGAGAAGGAAAGAGGGTTGACTCTAGCACTGGTAACCCAGAGTGGTTCACTGTAGCTGTCGCCAGGGAGAGATGGTGAAGAAGAAGGGAGAGGGATATTCGCCATTACTTACGACGACGAAGCAAGGGAGGTTGCAGAATGGTTCACTGTAGCTGCCGCCAGGGAGAAACTGTGAAGAAGAAGGGAGAGGGACGAAGGACAAAATTGGGTTTTGAAGAAAATTTATACATGGTGTCACGTGTGTATGAATTTCGACAAAATATTAATGAATATTAAGGGGAGGAGTTAGACAATTGTCAGAAAATTTAAGGATAGTGCACGACAACAGCTAAAGAGTAGGGGTATCATCTGTCATTACGCTAAACAATAGGGGTAGTTTAAGAGATTTACCCAATAAAAAATGTAAAATACATCACAAAAATGCAAAGAGAAATTTACCAAAAAAATAGGATAATAATTCTAATTCACATTACTAATAAAGAAATAACTTAAATTTCAGGTTAATAGAAAATGTAAAACACATCACAAAAATGCAAAGAGAAATTTACCAAAAAATAGGATAATAGTTCTAATTCACATTAGTAATAAAGAAATAACTGAAATTTCGGGTTAATAAAAATGTAAAACACATCATAAAATTATAGGAGAAACTAAAACAGCAGAATAATAATTTTTCATGTCATTAAAAAATAAATAAAATTTTGGTTTAATAAAAACAATGTAAACACATCACAAAAATCAACAAGAATGTAATCACAATATTCATATTAAAAATCAACAAACACAAAACTGTGAGTAATATTCAAAAACAATATGCAAGAAAATATTTTATTCACATTAAAATTCCAAAAACAATGAAGCAAAATTCAGAATATGCAATAAAATAACAAAACAATTTCAATTAATTACATATTATTTGTGTAATATTCAACAAAAATGAGAAAGAATATTGTAGGTATTCATACAAACAATTGTAGAACCAAACACACATACAACATGCATCAAGTATACCCGACTTTTTAAGAGATTGGAACGTCCTAGATTTTTAAAGAAGCACTTGTTGAAGATGTGCTTAAAAAAAGCCACTTTCAATATGCTTATTTGTTAAGTACTTTTTTTTTTTTGAAAATAAGCACTTATACCTGACTTTTTATACCAAACAAGTATAAGTGTTTTTTTCCACTTGATGTGTGGCCCCCAATACTTCTTTTAAGTACTTATAAGAATAAGTACTTCTTAGCAGCGATTAAAATATTGATACAATACGCCCGATACTGGGGTATCGTATCAATATTGGACTTGACCGGCATAGGATGCGTCACAATTGGATACTTATCCTACCAGTTGTGTGTATCAGTTTGATACGCTACTATGTCGACGCGTATCGTACTATATGACCAAGAGCATGTCTCTTAAATCACCACACCACTTATAACTTTTTAATAATAAAATAAATACATTAACCTTTATCAACATTAAAGTCTAGTAGTCTACATACAACCCTAATAAATAATATATAATAATATTCAACAACTCCAACTATAAATTAAAAAGAATAATTTTTTAAATTAGTATTTTATCAACATTAAAGAATAATTTACCAAATCTACATATATACCAAAAATTGATTTTTAATTTCAAGAAATTTATACAAATAAAATAATTATTTTAATGCTTAAAATTTATAAATTTTCACATTATATGTATATTCAAATTTTTATAAATTATTAATTAATATTTTAATTTGCGTTAATAATATTGTCTTTACTATTTAAAAAATAAAAATATTATTTACAAAATATTTGAGAATATAACATAAATTGAATTGGTCAATCCACTAATCTACATTTATATAAAAATAAAATAATTTTGTATTTTAGAATTTTTATAAAATAAAATATTAATAATGGAATAATTATTTTACTAATTAAAATTTATAAATTTTCATATGATATATATCTTTAAAATTTTAATAGATTTGATATATTTTAAGTTAAGATTATATATTTTTATAAATTATTAATTAATACTTTACTTTACATTTTATAATAACATATTTATTTGAGAATTGATTTTTTTGTATGTTAAAAAATAATTAAAATAGAAATATTGATATAGTAATTCAAATAAAATAGTTGCATATATTTTGTGCATTGGAGTTTAAT